TGCCTCTTTGCACACATTAAGGGGAAAATTCCTGTGATTCATAAGTGCTGCAATTTGTCCTCTGTGAGGAAACGCTTCCTAGCAACAGAAATATATATTAGAGCTTAATAGGGGGCCTATTTGCTTAAATCAGTGTGTGTGTGTGTGTGTGTGTGTGTGTGTGTGTGTGTGTTTTCCTTGTCCCCCCCCATCTCCAGACCTTGATTTTCTTTCTCTCCCGTTGACAAGAGTTGGGGATCATCTTTTCCGACCTCACGTCCCCTTCTCTCTCTCTCTCTCTCTCTCTCTCTCTCTCGGACGGATACAGACACCTTAAGCTTTAGAGACGGAAACAGCCCTACGACGGGAAGCAATCTAAGAGAGAAAGATTATTCCTCTTCTCCAATTAAATCATAAAGCCCCCAGATGAGAACCAGGGTTTGGTCCCTTAGTCCCTTGGCACGGCCGGGAAGACCTCCCGGGAGACTCTGCCTCTTCCACGCTTTGCCATGCCTATAAACGTTGCTTTCCTTCCTGGGCTTCAAGGTCTACCTCCTGAGCTTCTGGCCAAGGCCGCCTTCTTTCTGTAGGGTATTTCCAGAGGTGCGAGTGTTGGAGCTTCCCACCTTCCTTCGGAGGGGATTCTCAAATCAAGGGACAGATCTGGGAGGGAGGGAGGGAAGCATGAAGAACATCAACTAGAGAAGGCGGCACGCAACCCGTCCTCTTGCTCCCCCCAATCCCAGCCAGGCTCTTGAAAATTGAGGCGTTTCACCCCGTCCTGAGAAGGACCCCCTGTCCAAGAACCCAGGATGGATGGAAACCCAAGCAGGGAAAGTTTGTCCCCGAAAAGTTACTTTGAGACATTTATTTAAAAAAAAAACCTGCCTTTAAACCATTGTGCTACCCAACTCAAGCCAATGATGGTTGGTTGACCTGAGGTTCTGGGGAGAAAGGATGATCTTTTTTTTCCCCTCTCTAACCATGTGGTTGCACTTCCCTCTCTTCCTACCTTCTCTGCTCATCAGCACGTCCATTGGGAAGAGAGAGAGAGGTGGTGGGTTGGAAAGAGGGGACTTGCTGACCCATGTCATCCTCAGGCTGGATGTGTGGGTCGTTGGGGGTGAAAGAGGAAGCACCGGTCTGAATTGGCCTCAGTGAGTGAGAGAGAGAGAGAATTTGCGCCTCTTCCTTTTCCATCCTCGAAGAAGGATTTCTTCATCAACTTTGAATGACTTTTCCCTGAGCAGTTGGTAGCCTCGAATTTTTAAAGCACACGTTAATTTTAAAGGCTGTAATGATTTCACCATGTTATTGTAACAGGGAGGGGAGCTTGACGAAACGCTGCGTTCCCTTCCAAAAGTAGCTTTTTAATATTAAATTGCAAGTTACCTCATACTTTCTTTGGCATCTAAATGGGCTGAGGGGTTGGGATGTGCATCCGTGCCTTGCTTCGTGTTGTTTTCCTTTGCCCTATGCACGTGCGTTAAAATGCAAAAAAAAAAAAAACGTTAACGAGTCCATTAATTGGTGGACCACCCTACGCAAACAGATAAAGCGTTCTTCGGAAGTTTGTTCCCCTTTTTACGTTCTGTCATATCCAAGATGGTGGAGGGCGAAGGAAAGAGAAAAGGAGGAACGGAACGGTTATGATGTGGCACCCTTTATGTGTGGAAGGATGGGCGCGTTTGCTTGTGTGAGGCTTTCCGATGGCCAGCCTCTTCCTCGTCCATTTCACTTTCACAAAAAGAGTGTTTCTTACACTTTATGTGCACGACTTTTTACACACATCTACGTCTTCCTGATGTACTTCCTCTTGTGTAGGGTTTTTTTTTCCCTCCTCAGGGCCAGCCAAAGAGAAATATCGTTAATCTCATGCATGACAAAGCATGACTATTTTTGCACGGAGAATTCTTTCTGTCGCCGCTGCTCGAAAAGTTCGTTAACAGCGCCGTCCCCAACCCAAGCCTTCACCTTTCAAAGCTGGATTGATTCTTTATAAAATAACTTCCGTCCTCTAGTTCTGAGCTCGCGTGTGAACGTTCACCCTCTATTCTGAAAGATTAATTATTTGAGCATCAAAGGGAAAGCTATAATTCTATGCCTGCCCCTATTTATATATTTATATGCCACTTTTGCCGCAAGGAGTTCAAGACGGCACTTTATCCTCACAGGATTCCTGTCAGCCAGGTCAGACGAAAGAGAGCGTCATTGGTCGCTTAATGAGTTTAGTGGCCGAATGGAGACTTGAATTCAGACCTCCAGAGTCCTGATCCAACCCTTTAAACCAGTACACCAGACTGGGTGATGTGAATCGCCAGCTGTGGCAAAATATGCAAAGTGGCAAAGCTGAGGCACCGGTGAGCAGGATGCGGCCACGGATTTGGCCGACATAAAACGATGAGGTAGCCCTGTCGGGGTGGTGGCTTAATCACCTTGCCAGAAGCACCAGCGGGCAACACTGTCTGTGTTTAACCCACTCCATCTGAGGACGGCCAGGGTGTGGCAACCTCTCGGTTGATGTTTGGTTAGAAGGAAGATTCTAGCCCTCATTGCTGCAGAGACTGCTTTGAAAGAGGGAGGGGAACTCTGTGACTTAGTCACACTTTGGATACAAAAGGCAGTCAGGTTCCTGATAACTCCAGGTAAATGGCCAGGTAACAGGTGATGTGAATGATATCTCTCTGCCAG